TTCCCCCTTCAGAAGTTGGTGCCCTCCTTCATTAGTTTATTTCCTTCCCAAATCCTTATGGAGTTGAATTTTATTAATATTAGTTTAACTCTTTCATAATTACTTAGGTAAACAGAGTTTAGTAATATTTTTAAATCAACTGTTACCTACAAAGTTATCTCAAACTTATTAAACACTTTAAACAAAAAATATTTTATTCTAAACAGAGAATGACTTTTCCTTTTTTAATGGGAGGTCATCATAACAACATTTGATGGCAAAATTCCCTCCTAGAAGTTTCCAGGTGTTACCCTTTTTTCCTATCTCTATACTCTGCAATCTCAACATCCACATGTCAAGGCGGGATCACCCAAAAAAGGACTCTGAAACCCCATGGACACCCCACAACCCAATGCAACCTTCTATATCCCATAACTGTGGATGACTCTCAAAACAAAAATCTATTTCAACCAGTTAAATGCCAAAAAAATCAATGTCTTAAAGAAAAATTTGTATTTCACTTGTCTAATTAAATAACCATTTGAAAGATATAAGTTGAAATTTTGAAATCAGGTTATTTAGTATGAATTGTGCAAAGTCGAGTCAGGAAATTACATATCTAGGTCAAATGCTATGCAATAAGTAAATTTACAGTAATAGTAGAAACTTTACTGTGATACTGAATTGGTGTTAATCTCTGATGGACAAGTGTGTCCAAGTTAACACTGAATCAGTTGTTTTGGTCATTTTAGTATTATGCAAATTATTGCAGCTTGATAAATTATGGTAACTTCCATGACCTGTTAAGAGATTCAAAGTAAAAGAAATAACTTTTCAGTGGTCCATTCATCCTGTGAGTATTTTATAGCTAATAAAATACAAGGTCTCAGAAAGGACAGCAGAAGATAGGTTTTGAAGGAGATATTTAAGTTGGAAAAATGCTCATCTTTGGTTTATTATTATCTACATGTATATATATATATATATATATGAAATAAATGTTTAAATTTCTTTTATAAGTGTCTAAATCAGGGATGTCAAACTCATTTTCATGGGGGGCGTAGCACATCAGCACATCAGCCTCGAGGTTGCCTTCAAAAAGCCAAATGTAAGTTCAACTCCTTAACTGTTAAGTAGTTACATTTATACAGTCCTAAAATTATTTCAGCCCTTCGAAGGCAACCACAAGGCTGATGTGGCCTTGTGTGAAAATGAGTTGGACACCCCTGGTCTAAATAATTGCCCATTTTAAAAACTACTATGTAAAAAATAATATATTCCTTAGATTTATTCAGTTTAAATTGTGGCCCAAATGTATTCCAACAACTGTATTGTTAAATACTGCTTCCTGTAGTCAGTCTTTCCCCTTTCCCATGACCCCACATAGAATCTGGCTTTGAGTTCAGATCTAAAAACTATGAGCTAAGAGGACTCACTACTGTCCAACTTCATCTTCAAGTGACATGCTTATGGAACAGTTAATTTCATTTAAAACGAGGGATTTAGTAATACGTAATACTGTATGGAAAATATATAAATATTATTAAAAATATCTGCAATGCTTTCCATATGTATTTCATATTTTACAACCTAAGATCTGAGAAAAAGAAGTTTACAGATTTAGAAACCAATAAAAGGAAACCACCACTCATGCTGGACAAAAATTACTGGACATTAGATCCTTCCTCTAGCTGCACAGAATACATATTCATAGAGATCATGTTTTATTATAGCTACACTTTACTTTTGGGGATAAGCCATCTGGGCTAAATATTAGATGTGGGGTCTGTAACACTGATGCTCAAATGGAGGTCTAAAGCTTCTGTTGGTGTGTGATACCTGCAGCAATGATGCACCTGCTGCTGCTTTTCCGACTGCTCTTACAGCGACACTGGGTACACTAGTTCCTACCAGTGCCAACTGCTCTGTGTTCCCTGCCACGCCCGAATTCCCATGGCTGTCTCTCAGGGTTGGTATTAGCTCCTTACAGTCTCAGAGAGAGTAAGTGATTTGTCCAAATCACAAAGCCAGTGAGGATCCCAACCCAAGTGTGTCTCATTTCACCCTCCCCCTGCAAAAACAAAGTTACAAAATTATATCCCTTGTATGACTAATTAAGGAGAATTCCACAAAGCGAAGAAAACAAAAGCTTATCATCATTCCAAATTAATTTCATAACTCTTAGAATTAAATAAAATAATTTTCTTGTTTTTTTCTTTATTGCTGTGACTCACATAATTGTTTACCAGATTTTGGAATTGAGCACTTCATCATGCCCAGGGCGACTGAGTCTTCTCTTCCCTGTTTGTTCTCTCCATTCTAGTTCTAAAAACGTGAACTATGCTAGATATCAGGAAGGGACACATGGGTTTTGCCTTTGAAGGACATCATGGATGACTGCTGAAGAGATGGTGAGGAAGGACTTCTAACCAGGTGCAAAGGCCCACATCTGAGAAGGGATCGGGGTGCCAGAAAGGACTGTAGCAAATGCATTTGGTAGCAAACGCATTTGGTAGCAAATATCAATAACACCCAACAAGCAATTTCCTTTGTGGTTGAACATTACTAATATTTCTCACTCTCTTTCCCATCAGGACCTTATGTGTGTGCAAGTCTCTCATAACTTCAAAGCAGCAATGATGAGAAACTCCAAATCATCTTTGGCTTTATGGTCAACTGAATTGAAAGTAATACCAAAAACTTCCTTTTCTCTAAGGCATGACACTATGATGCAGGGACCATTAGATTGCAGAGAGAAAAATATTCACCTCTCTTATAGCATTTTTCACTTTCAGCAATTGCTTTTGACATGCATTACTTATCCTTTGGAAAACCATTTCTTCATTTTTGTGTTGCTTCAGTACCTTATATTCAAGATAGATATATAAACTATGTTACTGCACTTTAATTTCATGTGGTCTGAAATGATCTCAAACTATTTGTGGTATAAATTTTTAACTTTTCTTATCCACAAGCTTGGCTTGGAAATGCCTGTCATTCTAAAATGTCCTGACTTTCAGGTCTTTCAAACCTGCTTCGAGACACCTGCCCTCATTCTGCTAGACCTCTGCAATGTCCTTTAGCAGAGATGAGTGACCTTCATCCTCAGCAAGTGTTAGATACAGTCTTAGAAAGGGAGCGGCCAGGGAGACAGAAGCACAGACTATGGGAATGGTAGAGTTGTAAGAGACTTTTGAAATCATTGCATCTACTCTTTCATTTTCCAGGAGAGGAAACACAGGCCCTATGAGGTGAGGTTGCTCGGTGTCACCCAACTGAAGAGTTTCATGGGACCTAAAGCTTGGGAATTCCACCAGGCTGATGTCTGTCTACACGTCGTGAGCATATTCTGTAAATGATCCTAAAATAGTATAAGTATTAAATTGTTCAGTAATAATAAATCCAAATGCTGTATCACAATTGTTTTTGAATGAGATAGATGCACCATAGTTTGAGTTTCAGTTACCATCACATACTAAGTTTTATACTGCTTGAAACATATAGTTTAAAACTTTGAAGTAGAAGTAACACTTCTTTATTTAAAAAAATTACTGGAAAACATAGATGAAAGAACCTGATATTTGCTGAAACCTTAAAAACAGTCTACATATGTTACAGTAGTACATTTAGCTATTTTATGCATTTGGTTTCTTGCAGTTTCCAAAATGTTTTATAAGAGAGCAGTACTTTGAGTGGAGTCAGCTGGAGTTTTAAAAAGTATTTTAAGAAACCACAATCTTCTTTTGCCCTCTTGCATTCCCAAAAGCTCTGACTGGTTAATACTCAGCCTTACTTAAGTCTTATCAAGATTCAGAACTAATGTTAGATTGAATTTTCACTCCATCGAAACCACAGAAATTCCTTTTGCCCCTCCAGCTCTTTATTTCTCCTTAGTCACAGGAGGCAACTGTTTCTGTGAAGCAGAACACGTGTGAGGCTGGGTAAGCATGGGTTTAAATGGTCAGTCGTGGCTTTGTCTCAATCATGTGTCTTTGCCAAAACTGACTGCTCATCTACTAGGAAAACGTGCCGTAGGGCTTGGGGGCTGCACCATCTCCACATGTTCATAGACTTCTTTCAGAAACACTGAAAATGTCACAGCCACCAAGAGCTTACTCCTCTGTCTGGTGCTAGGGCGGGGTGAAGGCAGACATTTTTTCTTTCTTCTCTGATACCATCTAGCATCTTCTCGCTAAATCCCCTGTGAACCCTGGACATCTCCACAGACACAGGTGATTTTGTCGGTGTTGATAACTGGTCTGCACTTAGCCACCATTCCTGCTGTTCGGTCATTTTTGAGCATAGTGTTATGTTCATGGAGGAAGACTAAGGAAGTAAGCCTTAAGCCACCTGATGCTGCTTCTTAATCTTGCCTTTTATGGTGCTTCACATATTTCAAAGTGCTTTCATATGTATACATACATCACTTATTAACAAAAACTGTCCAAGTGGTGCGGGAGGCAGAATTCTAAGGTGGCCTCCAAGATTTCTGCCTGTGCCTATATGTGCCCTGGAAAAGTCCCCTCCCCTTGAGTATGGGCAGGACCTGGGCATGAGCTCAGATGGTCAGCCCTGTGAGTACAGGTAAGACTTCATCGTAGCAGACTCAAGAGAGGGTCTCCTGCTGGCCTTGAAGCAACAATAGCTGTGCTGTGAGAGGGGCCCGTGGTGAGAGAGGCCCTGGAAGCTCAGAGTGATCCCAGTGGACAACTAGTAAGGAGACAGGAATTCCACTCTACAGCTGCAAGGAAACAGCGGCCAACAATGTGAAAGGGCTTGGAAGTGCCTCTTCCTGAGCATGTCCAGACGAGGACATTGTCTGGCTGCGCCTAGTTTCAGCCTTCTGAGACCGTGAGCAGAAGACCCTGCCCAGACCTCTGAACTACACATGTGCAACAATAAATGGGTGTTGTTTTAAGCCACCAAGCTGGTGTAATTTGTTATGCAACAACAGAAAACTAATAAAAGCAAAGACGTAATATTATAACAGTTTCAACAATAAGGAGACTGGTTCAGAAAGATAAACTGATTTGCTTAATTTATTTTGGAAATTATTGACAGCACTGAAATTGGTGCCTCAGAAGCTCATTTACACACCGGCACTTCCCCACAATATTCCAAGTGTTCCACATGCCTGCTCCACACCAGTGCACTTGACCGGCAGGTTTTCTTTACCCCTGTCCATAAACCATAAACCAGATGAATAACCGAAAGCATGATATATTGTATTCCTCTATACAGCTCATCTCAGAGTAAGGCCATTATTTTACTTGTTCTCACATCAGTTCCTTAGTAAAATAAAATATTAATCAAAATCATATTGAATGTTAAGTTGACAATATTTTAAAATAATCCTGAATTGACTGTCAGTCTTCATCACTAATCACACAATATTCCGAATAGTCAAGATCAGGAAATGTGATAGGTAATTCTACCCACTTTTTATATAGTTTTTTTGTTGAATTATTTTCAAAAACCACTACAAAATTCTTTATTTTAAGACAAGGAAAATCTAAGCCTTTATGCACCATCATCGTTCCCCAAGCCTAGAAAACAAAAGAGAAAGAAAAAATTAAATGCACGTAAGAATTCATTTTGACCAAAGTAAGGATAAACCCACAGCAGTTTACTCACCTGGCCACAGGCTTTGCAGATGATCTCCCCGTTTGTTTGATAGTCTGCAAACTTCTTTTTCAGTGCTTTGTTTTCTCTCACAATGTAGAGTTCTCTAAAATTATCAAGGAATAGGAAACATTCCTGAGGATTCACAAATGACCAATGTGCAGTGGGTGCATGTGATTGAACTTGACACTCATTCTCTGGCGGATGCCCCTTTCACACCTACCTCTCAAGGAGCATGCTGCCTTTTGTGGCTTCTTGCAGCCTGTCAATTATTTTAATGTAAGTTGTTCAAAAACTTGAGAACAAATATGAACTTATAAACACCGATATGTCTTAGATCAAAATGGCTTTGAGCCTTACATGTCTCCCTCCCTCCTCCAGACAGCATATTTGAAAAATAAACATTTGACATAGAGATGTCATTTGGGAAAGTTTAAAGAGAAGAAGTTCTAAAACATAATAAATTTAATTTGTGCTATTTTGGAAGAACATTTACAATACAACCTGCATCACTGCTTTTAAAGAAACTTTGACTGCATTTTCCTGGACTCACTTGAACTCTGGCGTCAAGTTGACATGGTGCATTTTCTCAATCACGTGGATACTGCCCCCCGAGCAGGCGAGCACGCTGCAGTTTTTGCATAGGAAACTTATTAATGATGGGTTTTTCTTGTAGTGCTTGGCGATACTTCTCTTGATTTTCATTTTATTTTCCATAATACTTTGCATCTGTAACTCCAGAATCTGCAGGAAGCAAAGAATATTCTATGTTTTTTTTCATTGCTTCACTGAAGTAAGTATCCTTGAATTCAGAGACCTTAGATAGTTATGAAAATATACTCTTGGCCCATAGTCTAAAAATAAAAATAATGAGGCAATGGCCCACAAAGAATTTAGTATAGAAGCCTTCACATAATGATGACAGTGTGGAACCCTCAAAAAACAGCCTATTCTATTTTTAAAAAGTTCTCTGGGGAGAAAGTCCTCAGCCATGTTCAACCAAAAAAACAAAACAAAGCAAAAAAACTACAGAGCTCCTATCTACCTCATTAGTTTTAGTGGTCTCATAAAATAAATCTAAACTTTCTCCCATATGAATCTCTTTAAAGAACTAAACACCGTTACTACATTGCTCATAGTCTTTTCTTATCTATGATAAGCCCCCCAGTTTCTTTCATTGTTCCTCTTATGTTTTCATTCCCAGACCCTTTCATTACCTAAGCAAATCTCCTTAGCAAAATCTCCTCTTTTCGTGTTCATGACAGAAACTACTAGTTTCCCACCCAGGATCCATTCTTCCTAGGAACAGAATTATTGTATAGTTTTATTTAGGGTGGAAATATGCTAACTAAGTGACTATATTTCCAAGCCAGTGGTCAACAGGGATGAGAAAATGTTAAGTGGTATTTCCAGGAAGGCTCCTTACGTATCAGATAGTTCGCATGGGTACTTCTGTCTTTTTCATCTTCTCCCTTTCTCCTCCCTAGAATGAGCATGTGACAGCTAAAATTCTAAACACTATCTTTGACCTTGGGAATGGAAGCCAAACCCTAAAAGGGTAGAGAAGAATGGAAGAGAGAGTGAAAGAGAGTGAGATAGAGAGACAGACAGACAGAGAGACAGAGAAGGAGGGAGAGGGGAGGGGAGAGGAGGAGAGGGCAGGGGAGGCCCAGGGTCCTCATGACATCATGGAGCTATCACATGACTCTAGACTGGCCACATGTTTTATATGAGAGAATAGGCCTTTATGCTGTGTATTCTAGGTTCTGTGACTAGAGGCAAAACTTATTTCGTCATAGGAACAACGTAGTTTATGAAAGACACAAAATTTGAAGTAGGGACTGGTCAGTTCTCATATCTATACAACTTCACAGTAGAAAAACCTGGTTTAAGAACCTCCAAACTGGAGGGAATTTCAGGGGGAAAAGGGAAGAAGGGTTTACAGGAACAAGTATAAAGGACACATGGACAAAAACTAAGGGGGCTGGAAATGGGAGGGAGGTGGGGAGGGCTGGGGGGGTGGGCTGGGATGGGAATAAAAGAGAGAAAACTGTTCTTGAACAACAATTAAAATGAATAATTTTTTTTAAAAAGAACCTCCAAACTGAATCTTTTCTAAACAACCAATTTATATTAAATTATAGAGGAAATTCTGTTCATCTCCTTTATATTAAATTGTTTTCTTTAAGAACCAGGAGATATTTTCCACAAAAGTAAATCATCAGTGTTGACAAACAGAGCTGACTGGCTCATCTCCTTGGCTCTCACCCCTGTTTTAGGCCTTGATTCAGGGCAGTCATATTTAGCACAGAAAGAAAAGAAGCCTTGCAAGCAAACTTATGGGCTGTAGAATAGTTTAATCAGACAAGTACACAGACTAATTTCCCATGAAAATTATAATAATACAATAAATTGAAGTATTCTGTTCCTTAAAATTTAATTAGGTTGTTCTTACAAGGTATTTATTGTTTAGTGAGCTGAGTAAAAGATGATTAGGCCAAGGATCACACACATGTAGACAATTAAGTGGTACCTATGAGTGTGATGGAAAAAATAAAAATAAAACCAAGGTTGTTGTTTAAATATGTAACCAGGGCACCAGAAACTAAAAGACTAGCTTTAAAATAGTAAAGCATATAAACTAATTAGAGAGGAAAATGAAGAGAAATTATAATAAATATATGGCAGGTAGAGCTATCATCAAAGACCAAATAAAATTTAATAATGTAGCAAAAGTCGTTAGGTCAATGCCAAGGAAAAAGTTTAAGATCTCTATTTTTAGAAGCTTTCAGTTATGTATAAGCCCTGTGCAAGACATGGAAAATAGACCTCACATAGGTGTCGACTCTCACCATTTATTTACAGTTACCCATCACTGAGAAAATGAGAAGGACTCTCAAATTGGAGGACAAGAGTGCTCTGACCTCCTGGCAATACCTGCTCGGGGCTCTGGGCAGAGTAATGGTTGCCATGTGCCTCCCGTCACTGCCATCCCTGCTCTGAGCTCATCCACCTGGAGCAGTTCTAAGAGGGCGATCACTTAGTGATCACTAATCTCAGAGAGGGCCCCAAAAGACCCGAAAAGGCAGTCCATTCTGGAGCCCCTGAAGGGACGGTATCTTGTTCTAGAGATTATTGACTCCAACTTCAGAGGGTGTTCTAGAGTTTCCCCAGAACAACTAGCCTTGAAACATCGATTTTTGAAAACAGTAACTTGATTTCTTTCATCTGGGACATTAAATGTAAGGCAATAACCTTCCAGTGGAATTATTCGGCCATAAATGTTTGATTTGACACTACAACATGTTTAGTTTTCTTTATATTGAAAAGGGTTTGAAAATATAAGTTCGTGTAGAAACCTGGCCAGGAAACCTTGGAGTTGGTTACCGCAATGCACACCAATTTGAAAGCATCCCTTTCGTGAAACTCTATTTAGGGTAGAGCCAATTCCAATGTTAAGAAACTAACATTCACACCCATATGCAAGGGTGTGAATTTTCTTCTAAATGGATTGTTTGCTATTATAGTCCTCACAGTCTTTAATTCAGTGGTATGGGGGATTTCCTGAAATATTGGAGAAATACTTTCTTCCTTCACTGCATTCTCCTCACCACCCAGAAAACTCTATGTCAGTGCACTGAAATGCAGCTAGATAATATGAGACGTATCTTGTTCTTATGCAGACCTAGCCTAGCATCACTGCCTGTAAGAGGCCTTTCCCAACTATTCAGTCCAAAGGACCTATCTAGTGACTTTCCCCACATTATTCTATTCTAATTCTCTAGCATTTATCTCTACATGATATATTTTTTGCTTCATTTCTGTTTAGTTTTTTTTCCTCTTCAAATCTCACTGTGTACACACTAGAATATAAACTTTATGGTGCAGGGGTCTATCTTTATTGTTTGTCTGTTTGTTCTCTGTTTCTAAAATGTTCCCTGGTACACAGGAGGCATTTCACAAATATTTCTGAAATGAAAAAAAATGTGCCTGTACAAAATTGGGCCAAACCAAAATTGCCAGGTTGGGATGAATGGGTGAGTTACACTAGTGTTTCTGGATCAAGAGCAGCTTAAATTTATATTATTAAAGTTTATGGCTGGTTCCGCTGGAATGGCTCTCTGGCAATTTCAGCCCAATATGGATCTCAGTTCTTTGTATGTGACTCTGGACTAAGCATAGCTCATTAAAACTGGAACATGCACTTCAGCACAGTTTCTGTCTGGCGACCACATGCAGCCATTTTAGAGTGAAAACTAATCTCAGAGAGGGCCCAAAACAATACCTTATGAGCAAACTCCTCTGGTTTCATATTCTGAACACGGTCTATAGCTTTATACATCATTTTCTCTCGGAAGTCATTAACTGTCTCACGCTGCACAACTCCTGAGCCGCTGTGGGCAACCAGGATATAGGTGCTCTCGTCCGCTCTGGCTCGACCACGGGCCTGAGAAGAGAAATAAGTTACATAAGTATAGAAAGGAAGAGCTCTCTCTTGCTATGAACTCCCCCATTTTTGTCCTGAAATGCTCAGTGTCCCAGCCTTCAAATGCTCTCTTTATCCTCAGTAAAGTTAGTCATTCTCCGTTCTTTATAAACTTACTATTTGAAACTCAAAATGCACATTAATATAGAAACAATGTTCTTGAACCATGATGGTTAGGTCCCCACACAGTTCTCAAAAGCCTCGATAACACAATACCAACCCATCCAGCCTTTGCATTTCGGGGGCCCCTCTCTCACACCCTGTAGTAGTCGTGAGTGACCTGGACCAGGGGACCACCACTCCTCCTAGCCGGCTGGGAGGGGTGGGCGTCTCTGACCTTGACACCAGGGCTGTGGAGCGTGCAGCCCTGTTCCTGGAGTCCTACGTTGGCTTTTCAGCACATTTTCTCATGAAAACATGCTCAATATGATGATAAACTTCCATAGCTCTCTTTATAAATTGATATTTAGTTACATTTAAGTAACAGAAAATTGCGTGGCCTCGCCCAGGAATCCATCAGCTATAATAACATCCTCATGAAAATGCATCCTGAGTAATGAACAGCTAAAAAATCAACTCCTGAAATAAAATGACTTCCTCATTTGGTGGCCATCGAGTTATCTTGGTTCTGATTTGCCTTCCATTCAAGAATGCAATTTAGCATATAAAAAAGCCGCTTTGTTAATTTTATGGGAAGAATGTTAAGCATAATTTCTATGCTTACTCAACAAAAGGAAACAATTTTATTGTTAACATAGGGTGGGTAAGATATAAAGCGAAATTGAATAAAAACTGGAACATTTTACTATTTTTATCTTTTTCTGCATATAGGGGAATATGTGTAGAATATATATATATATATATATATATATACACACACACACACACACATCTGCCTCACACCCATCGCTATTTTATTATGAAAATTTTCAAACAGGGAAGTTAAAAGAACAAGTGAGGAAGGCACAGAAAGAGCAGGGCTCCCTGAGGCTTGGTGTGTTACTTCACTGGACATTTGTTGGACGCTGTGCTTTAGATTCCTGGTCCAGCTGGGGGCTGACTGGCATCCTGGGAGTGAGGAGGCCTGTTTTGACTCTTACAGATGGGGCCAGTGTTATGTTCTTAAAAAGTCTTAGGACACAGAAATAACCACCAAAGAAGAGTTGTTGTTTAAAAATACAACAAGCATCTGGTTGAAATATGAATTAAACAGTAATATAAAAGGCAGTAATGCACAGCTCCTCAAGATTTCTCTTTTCTGTTTCATTGGGGTATAATTGATATATATTACTTTTTAGGTATGCACTGTAATGATTTAGTATGTATATACATTGTGAAATGATTTTTCATATGAAAACAGCTATATTTTTAAAACTATGTGGGCTGTTTTACTAAAATAAAACAATTAAAATAAGAATACAAGATTTAGAAAATTGATATATTAGAAATATTTGAGCGTACCTGGACCATGGCTATTTCATTAGTGACAAGACCATAACGAATAACCATGTTGCATTCTTTAATATCCAAACCTTCTTCTGCCACTGTGGTAGCAATAAGCAGATTTATTTTTCCTGTGCGAAATTTCCTAATGACTTCTTTTTGTTCATTCTGTGGAAACATTTTAATAAATTAAATTTTGTGATGCTAAACACATTAAAATCATCTAATTAGGAGAATAAATAAAGAATTACAACTGGTCAGTGTAAATCAAAGGATTAGCTCATACATGGATTTGGTGCCATCTGTTTTTGTCATTGAACAAAGACATGATGCTGAGACACATTTGATTTCCAATCTGGGATTACCACACAATAACAAGAATATTTCCATCTTCCAGTCTGGAGATGGGGAGACCATCATTTACACCAAGGAAATAAATTGATGGGCAACTTGGGAGCAAGAATGGAAGAGACGAGAAACTTAAATGGGCTTTGCTTTTCACTACAATAACTTCAGAATCTTTAATATTCAAAGAATAATATGCAGTGGCACTTCTAAAAATTGCTGAGTTTTGAGTCACCCAGAAGAAATACAGACTACACATTTGGTCACTTTAAGAGTCATTCAAGCACCCTGGCTGGTGTGGCTCATTGGATTGAGCACCAGTCTGTGGACTAAAAGGTCAAGGGTTCAACTCCCAGCTAGGGCACATGCCTGGGTTGAGGGCAGGGCCCCTGGTTGGGGGTGTGCAAGAGGCAACCAATCAGTGTATCTCTCGCACCCTGATGTTTCTCTCTCTCTCTAAAAGTACATAAAGAAAATCTTTTTTAAAAACGAGGCATTTAAGCAAGAATATTGGTCCTGGAAGGACACATGGGAAACTCAAAACACTGGCTGTATGCAATGGGGGGGGTTGAAGGGTGGAGGACAGTGGTGAGCCCTGTGCCTGGCTGATTTTGAAAAGGGGGGTAAATATATTACCTGTTCAACGGGGCAACACAGATAAAAATGAACAAATAGGTTATGAAAAACATAATTAAAACTATTATATTTAAATGAATAAAATATAAATTCTGAAAGTTAATATAAGTAAAGAAATTAAAAATGCACTCTGACCCTTGCCTCGGAGGAATGGGTAAGCATGAACCCAGCCCTATGAGAAGGAGACCGTACTTTGAGCTTCATAATTGCTCTCATCAAAGCTGTCGGTCCAGTTGGCCTCTGGTGCACATTCACACTCGCTTCTGCCCCCATACTTTAAACAAAAGTGAACGTGTCTGATGGAAGGTGTGCTCTCCCTGCCCTTGCTTTCTTCTCAGAGGCAGCACTTGCCTTTATCTGACTGCTAACTGCGGCAGAAAACTCCCTCTCCAGTCTCCTCTGATAGTTTCTCCCTCTTGCACTTAAGTCTGCTGGTAAAATTTACATGTCCTTGGATTTTAGCAGAAGCTGTCTGTGGCTTAATTCAAAGGAGTAACTTTAATAGTAAGAGCTTGTAACACATCAAGAGTTAGGCAACTCCTCTCCCAGTAAGTCCAATTGAGTTTACAAGGTGAGGATGTGGGCAGTAAGGAAGGGGTGCGTCCTGCATTGGCATGCAGCCCCCAAGTCTGTGGGCGATGAATGACTAGCCAAAGTAGCTTGAGAACATACTCTCCGTCTGCATCTCACCTTTTTTCAAAGAGGAACTGAGGTCAGACACCATGGAAGTCATAACACTAAAACTAATATAATAGAAACTTAAACGCAGGACCAAAAGTGAAAGAATACAGATGTATTAGTTGTAAGAATTAACAGAGAGGCTGTGAGGCTACAGTTTTTCCTATGAGGTTCCTAGAATGTGGGGCCAAAAAAAAAAAAAAAGAAACATGAAGTAATTAAACTAGCTTTCACCTCAAAGGAGGAGGCAAACTCCTTACCCATGAAAAACAGTGCTTTCCTGGGCGCATGTGTGAGAAGCACCTTTAACATGGGTACATGCAGAGAGTGCATGGAGCATTTGGTACAATTTCAAGAGCTATTTCTTTTCGGCAAACACTAAAGTTTAATTTGCCCCATTGGACTGAATGGTGGTGACTCTGTCGGAATTGAAGTATCCTATTGTCTAGCAAGACTAAGGATCGATGTAACTTCAGAAGAACATTTTACTCTAACAAGCCACATGCTTGTGATGTCTACAGGTGCCTTTTTTCTCTCTCAGGTATTTTTTACTGTGCACAGGATATGTGGTATAATGAAATGGAAATAAAACAAAGCAAAAACCTTAAAGAGGAAAAGAAAATCTCTCAATATCCCAAATTTCAAACACATCAAGTCCTAATATTTCTAAGTCTCGTCCAATGCAAACCTGTTTTACACAGTTCTAATTATAACGCACATATTGTTGCAGAGATGGAATTTTCCACGTGATAATTATATTGTAACCATTTTTGTATTTTGTTATAAGTTTACATGTCAATGATTTTTGCAAAGGAAACTCACTTTAGAAAGTTTCTTCAAATATGTAAAAAAAATTACACCTGGGCCAATACTTAACCTTTCAAATACCACAGACTAGGCTGCCATTAAACTCACATTTTACCTCAAGAACAAGTGCTTCATTCCTGACAGTTACTTTGTGGTGTGATGAGAGAATTGATGAAAAATGGAGGACACCTAGCTTGTGAAGAGTAGTAACAGCATAAGAACAGTAATCTCAAAAGATGTTCACACCTGCGTCATGGGCTTGAACTCACTGCCGTGCCCAGCTCCAATCAGATGGTGGGCTATGACTCCCACTTCCGCAAATTTTTCATTTTCATTAATCCACTGGGAAAGGGCATATGCACTCTGCCGTGTTTTTGTGAAAATTATGCCTCTTGCTTCCACAGTCCTTGTATATTGCTCCATTATGGTATTTCTTAATTTGGTCAGCTTTTCATTTTCATATTTTGGGTTTTCGGCCAGTTTTTTCAACATATGCTTGTTATCTTTAAAAAATAATTAGTTTAAATTAGTAAAATAAAGGAATAATTACAGTGGAAGATTTTATGTAATGATGCACTATAATTAATCTTTTATCTATATCTAATAATAGAGCTGTTTTAATGCATTTCAATCATCTTGACTAAAACTCGGATGACCAAATGATTGACTGTACAATCCATGGCTACTGTGACCATATCAGTTAGATACTAGCGGGATTTCTTCTTTCAAAACAAAATGTTATTTTAAGAGGGCCTTTTGGAGGCCCTTATAAAGCAGCAGTTCGCACCAAAGAGGTAAATGCATGAGGCCACGCAATCAATGTCACAGTGATTCTTACCCATAAATAAATTCATGAGAAATTCATCCGTCCCATTCAGTTTCGACGGGTTCTTTTCATCATTCTCATCTTCATCACCGTCGTCACCACTCTTATCACTATCATCTAGGACAGCAAACTTCTTTTCTTTTTCTTCATTATAGAAAGTTTCGAGGTGATTATATGCATCAATCATTCGGATTGTGTCATTGATTTGCAGGGCTTCGTTGTACTTCCTCAAATGTTCTGCACAAAGGCGGTCTTTGCGATTTCCTTCTTTTGCAGCTGTGAAAGAATATATTATGTAGTGTGAATGGACGATCGAAACACACACCCTTAATACTTGACTGGGGACAAGAATATGTTTGTAATACTGACTCTAGAATGCATTCCATTTTGTTTCTGAAATGAGTAAGCAAGACTGCAAACGTGCCATGAGCTCTAAAAGGGTGCAAATGCTCTAACTCCTAGACTTGCTGCTTGAGTTCTGCAGCAGAACACACCTCACCCTCCATGCTGAGTCAGCAGAATGGCATGACAAGCATATTACTTGAATTTGCAATTGGAGGAAGGGCGGTTAATATTTATCTTAATACTTTAAATGTACAACAAGTGAAGACTCTGGAGATAATGAGAAAATGAATGAATTGGTGCCTCTTTCCTTAAAGAAAGAATTAGAACATGTTTATCCTAGCCCTACTTAGAACAAAGAAATTCCATTTGCATTTGCTTTAATTTTCCTTGGGAACATATGAGATAGTCTTGGCACAATACGGGCATAAACATGGGATAAACTAAGTGTTGGTAAAAACCCCAATTACCTTTTTTATCCATTTTAATGGTCCATTGTTCATAGGGTTGAGTTCCAAAATCTGCCATTGGACTCATTTGGCAAAAAGTTTGAATCTTTGTCATTATTTCCAGAAGTTTGTCTTTAAATGGATCCTAAAAATAAGTTACACACTTATTCTTATGTGTTTACACTGTTAAAGGAATAACATTATCTTTGTGAAAAGAATTTCTATGTAATAATAAATTTGATTAATAATCTTTGTCTAAGCAAAGTAACAAGTTAATCTCTGATCACCTGTTTGTACATTTATTTTTTATCATTTTTTTCTTTTAAAAGTCTCTACCCTCAAGATACATCCACACCAACACTGCATACCCCTTCTGAAATTTTCAATTTAAAAATTTTATAAAAGAAAAATTAATGAATGATAACTGTAGATGCTAATACTAATTTTAAAAAACATTTTAAAGTAATGCCCAGTTATTTAGAAAGCCTGCAATCTAATTTGAGAACTAGTCTCCTTAGAAGAACTGGTTTCAGCATTATACCAAAATTCAAAGTTAAGAGAGTTTCAAAAAAAGCTAGATGCAAAAAAGTACATACTGTAAGATGTCATTCATAGAAAGTTCAAGATCAGCGAACACCCATCTTTGGTGTTGGAAGCCAGGACAGCCCTGTCCCTGGGTGTGGCAATGGAAGGGGAGGGGAGAGTTTCCGGGTGCCACAGTGCTGTGCATCTGCGCCTGGATTTTGGTTACACGTGTGTGTTTTGTTTATGAAAATGCAGTAATCTATCACTTCAAATGAGTACTTTTCTGAGTGTTATACTTCAATAAAATAGTATCCTAAAAGTTAATAAAGAGTAAGAGATGGTCTCCAAGATGGACACATAGGTGGGAACACTTTGTGTCCTCGCACAACCAAATCTAAAAATAACAAAGTTTTAACAATAATAAACGCAACCAAACCACATAGAAAATCGAATATGGAATCTGAAAACAACAAACTGCTCAGCTAAACCGGTGAGAGGGGCAAAGCCAGCAGTGGAGCGGGTCAGGCAAAAAAGATCCCCCAACATGGGCAGTGTGCAGATTCCAGGTGCGGACTAGCTATGGGCGGAACCCAGGGAAGAGGCGCAGCTGGCTGTCTGCAGTCGGTCATGCATTTACATGCAGATAAACCAGTGAAGAAGCGAGCCTTGAGACAGATTGCTCAGGCCCTGGCGACCAGCGCAGGGTGGCAGGCTCACACATTTGCGCTGGGATAAGCAGGCCGGGGCGAGCAGTGAGGTGGACTGGGCGAGCAGAGAGGACCGCCATTGCTCCCTCTCTGACTCCGCCCCCACATACAGCGTCACAAACCAGCGACCTGGGTAGCCCCGCCCTGGTGAAAAACATCGAAGGTGCCTCTTCTCCTATGTAACAGGCACAGACAGATAAAAACATGGCTCAAGAACAACTCAGAGCCCCAGAGCCGATAAATCTAAGCGATGAAGAAATAGCCAAACTTTCAGATGCACAGTTCAAAACACTGGTGATCATGATGCTCACAGAACTGGTTGATTTTAGTCACAAATTAGAGGAACATATGAAGGCTAAACTAATTGAAATGAATGGTAATGTACAGGAAACCAATAGTAATGGAAAGGAAACTGGGACTCAAATGAAGGGAGTGGACCAGAAGGAAGGAAAAAATGACCAAACAGAAAAATATGGAGAAACAAGAATTCAAAAAAATGAGGAGAGGCTTAGGAACCTCCAGGACATCTTTAAATGCTCCAACATCTGAATTATAGGGGTACCAGAAGGGGAAGAGGAACAGTTACCAGTGGAAACCTTATTTGAACAAATAATAAAAGAGAACTTCCCCATTCTGGCAAAGGAAATAAACTTCCAGGAAATCCAGGAAGCTCAGAGAGTCCCAAAGAAGTTGGACCCAAGAAGGAACACACCAAGGCACATCATAATTATATTAGCCAAGATTAAAATGAAGGAGACAATCCTAGACGCAGCAAGAGATAAGGGACAGTCACCTACGAAGGAGTTCCCATCAGATTGTCAGCAGATTTCTCAAAGAGACCTTATAGGCAAGAAGGGGCTGGAAAGAGGTATTCCAAGTCATGAAATCCAAAGACCTACATCCTAGATTGCTCTATCCAGCAAAGCTTTCATTTAGAATGTAAAGGCAGCTAAAGTGCTTCTCAGATAAGATCAAATTCAAGGAGTTCATCATCACCAAGCCCTTATTATATAAAATGTTAAAGGGACTTAACTAAGAAAAAGAAGATAAAAAAGATGAACAGTGAAAGGACAGCAAACTCACAGTTATCAACAACTACACCTAAAACAAAAGCAAACTAAAGGGGACAGCTAGATCAGGAGCAGAACCATAGAAATGAAGATCACATGGAGGGTTAGCAACAGGGGAGTGGGAGAAGGAGAAGGGGGGGGAGAAGGTACAGAAAATAAGTAGCGTAGACGGTAGATAGAAAATAGATAGGAGGAGGGTAAGAATAGTATGGGAAATATAGAATCTAAAGAACTTGAGACACATGGTCATGAACTAAAGGGGGGAGAATGGTGGGGGAGGGGTGTGCAGGGTGGAGGGGAATGAAGGGGGGAAATAGAACAACTGTAATGGCATAATCAATAAAATAAAAAATATGAAACAGTAAAAAAAAGAGTAAGATGGCAGATTTTTAAAAATATATACCCTAAGTCACATCCAGCAATTTCATCCCAGCCTACATCCTTGCAAAAAATAAAATAAAATAAAATACCCTAGGAATGTTGTGTTTTATTAATGATTATAAGTGAAAACACACATTTAACCTTATCAAGTAACAAAAAGTGAAGGAAAATAAAGTACACCAAATTGGCCAGTACAACTGCGGGAGATAAGTAACAGAATTTAAAGTAAAACTCAGTGAGAACTGACGGTCACTCACATTAGTTTAGTGCCCACTACATTTTAAACACAAGATTATTCATTATGTGTATTTCATACCATTGAATCCTAACATCATTATAAGGTAGATTTTCAATGATTACACTCACTATCAAGCACATAGAGCTAAAACTTATCCTGCTTTGTAAATTTCACAAAAGAAAGTGTTGACATATGTATTGTCATGAGTTCCAAACTGTCAGTCACTGTTTATTATTGGTGAAAACAGTCATGCAGAAAATACCATTAAAATAGGTATTTCACTTCTTTACCATGCCAATGTTTTCCTAAGAAACATGCAAATTAGGGAGGATTCGCATTATCTTTGCCAACTGTAATCTGGTAGCAACGAAATTGGTACTTGCGTATGCCAGAAGTCCAACCCTGGAATTCACCAACAAAGTAAAAATAATAATAATAATAATAATAATAATAATAATAATAAGGATAAAGCAAAATACAGTATAATCCCTGTAGTTTAGCTTTGTAACCTGTAACCTTCCATACTTTTAGCCCCTCATGGCTCATCTGTAGCCAATTACTGAGCTACTCTTCGTATAAACTGGAAAACTAAAAAAGAGTGGAAAAGAGAATTCACAGCAGTGTTTCATGGCCTAACATCAGTAAAAGAGGACAAAATTGTAACTTTTTGCTAAAAATTTAAAATAATATTATTCAGATGGTGCATATAAAATAATCTTTGTATCTTTCAATTGAGTGGTACTAGCAATCAAATAAATACAACACTTTAAGCACATACTTCTCTGGTGTCATCTGCAATTACGAACTTTTTGTATGGCTCCTTTATTTGGTCTTTAAGTTGACAGGTGTTTTCTTTCACAGTTTGAATAGTAAAAGCATCAAGATTAGCACATATCTGGAAAAGAGACATTTTTCAATATTTACATTTTTCCCTTTCATTGATTTAATGTAGTTTTTTATAGAAGAAATAAGTAGCATTACTTGCTAAACATAGCATTATTGTATTGCTTTATGGTGGATCTGATTAACCAGTAACCAAAAAGCAACCTGTCCTGATAGAGTAAAAAGGAGCTTCTAAATCAAGCTGGTGAATAATTCCAGAAAAGTGTATTTATATTCCTTACTTATACTTGATTTTCTAGCTGGAAAAATTGATATGGGAAGGGTGTAGCCACTTGCAGAGATGAGCAGAGAATGCTTATGAAAAAACCATATCACACGAGGCATTTCAAAGGTCATTTTAACATCTACAGGTCATATTACCACTCTCCTTTACACATAAAGAAGATGGTGTGAGGCTGGGAGCAGCTGAAGCCTGTGTGCCTGGGTCTACATTAGAATTTGTCTTCAATCCCAGTACTAAATTGTATCTAGAGCCAATAATGATACCTCTGTCTACCTTAAATTATTTTTACTGAACTAAATTTAAAATCAAGGACTTAAAATACAAATGCAATTGCTTTGATGCCAGCACACTTCTTGGCTTACTCTGAATTCATTTAACACTTGAGTCAACAATAGTACTTTTGTGTTGTTATCATTTAGAGGCAGCTGATGGGTAATATATTTTTAATTACAGATTCACATATCTCATTTTCCCACTTAATTTGAATTACCCAGAATCTGAGAATCATACAGAACAAAAAGACAGTAGAAAATATGTAATTTTGAAATTCACTTAGTATGAAAATTGGAAATGTTCATAGTTTTGTGCATATTTCAATATCAAATAGATCATTTTATAATAGGTGTAGATATTTAGAAGAAGGTATTTAATTTGCCCCCACATCATTGATTACATCAGCTTCCTATGATTTTTGTGATGTGTTCTCTCATAGTTGTTATTAAGGCATATGAGTGTTTTGTAGAAAATTGACTATACTTACTTTAAAGTAAACGGCTTTCACTTAGCTGCTGACCCAGCCATACCTTCTTGCATGCATTCAATGGGACTTGCACCTAACCTTACTTAAAGAAACCCAAGAAGTACTGGCATTTCCTAAAGCTTTGGTTTCCTTTTTTACACATAAAGTTCATGACTTACTTTTAAGATGTGCTCTTCAGCTTTGGCCTGCTTGGTGGCCCCGCCAACACCTGGCGACGCTGTCAGTCCCAGTATCTGAGGCAGGGGCATTGCTGGTTTGTTTTCTTTCTCAAGTTTCTTGTTTTTCAACTTCTGTTTCAAATAGCGCCTCATGATGTTATTATAGACGACTTCTTTTTTGGTGTGATGGCACTCATCAATGATGAGGAGGGAAAAGTCTTAAAAGAAAATTCACATGGTTCATTTGTCCGTACCAGTAAGATACAGACAAATGTACGTAACCTTAAAAAAACATTTTTAAAAGGTACATTTAAAAAAAAAAGAACCTTTAAGCTAGTAAACTGAGCTGCCATAGGTATGTCTTTTCCTGGGCAGAATACTGGCGCTGACATTTTTCACTGTTTAAGACTATCCTAATCACCTGTGCATTCAAAACTTTATGTGTATTAATCACGAAACTCTCCCTGTTAGATACTATGCCTATTTCATTAGATGAGTTTTAGAAAGTTTATAGACCTAAAGAGTATTATGGGATGGAATTCAAACTATGGGATGGAATAATTTTAGATTATTATCTAAAATTCTCAGGATTACACTTTTTTTCTTAATATAATGTTTAATGTTAAGTGGGTGAATTTTACATTTATTATATCAAATAAAAACTGCACTATTTAAAGAGAAATTTTTTGGCATGCTTGTGCATTACATTGAATTATTATAATTATTTGTACTTATTTCCATTCCTCTCTCTTACCTTCTCTTCCAATTTCTTACAAAATAGAAAAGATTGTGTATTTGTTCTATGGAAAAGAAGGCAGACCTAATAGGATACATAGCATATAAAAGGAACTTGTCAGTACTGAGAATTAAGAAGTAAATGGAAAGTCCAGTGATTGTTTAATGTAATAATAATATCTGTATGCAGAACAGTGATCTAATTAAAAACTTTTTAAATTTTTTGTTTCCCCAAAGAAATAAAAGGGTTTTAATGAAGACTTAAACAATAAAAGATAATATAAACCTAAGTTAATTTTTTGATAAGCATGTTTAAAATTATTTAACTAATTTGGCTTCTATTAGTATTAATATTAATATGAATTCTTCTGTTGTCAAAAATATACACTTCCACCAACCTGACAACTGGACGCCATCATCTTCTCCTCCTTCTGAGTTTAAAAGGGAGTTTTCTAGGATTTGAGCTGTACTGATAATAACATCGTGGGTTTTGACAACTTCTGGAAATGATATTTTCAATTGGGTATCACCACTTAATCCTGTGACGGAATACCATTTCTTCAAAAATGGTTGAAACTCTCTGCAGAAGAGCTGCTCAACTAATGGTACCTTTAAAAATGCCAAAAGTAAAAAAAAAAAGAGAAAAGAGAGCATGTCAAAGCCAAAGGAGTATGGATCAAAGGCCTACTATGTGTCAAGCATTAATGAAGGTTTTACACCATCAGTTCAGTAGGCATCACAACCTGTTCACCATTCCATTCCTTCATCTGTCAGTGTGCATGTACTGAATGCCCACCAGGTGTGGACACTGTGTCTGGGACACAACATTGTTTAAGATGTGGCTGACAACTCTCTGGCCGAGCACATAGACCAACAAATTAATATAATACCATGTTATGATTCTCCCATGGAAATACATTCAAGTGACAGCAAAGAGGAAGAGGCAACTGACTACCCAAAAGAAGGCTTTAGAAGACATTTTAATCTTGCAAAACCATGGGTCAGTGAAGAAATACATTGAAATTAAAAAATAAATTTTGAATTGGTAGAAAAGGGCCAGGCTCAAAGGGCTGTGAGCACCAAGCAGAGTGTTTTAAACTTAGTGTAACAGTTCAGAGGCCCTTGTGAGTTCTGTTCCATTTAGGGCGGATTTATTACTGTTGTTTGTTTTGGGATCAGGCCAGAGGCAACAGGCCTGGAGGTTGGAGGGAGGGAGCAGACAGTGAGACAGCAAGGCACTGGCTGGGAGAGTGGATGCGAAGTGAGGAACGGACTGCTGGAATGGCTGTGGTGGCTGAAAAAAATGAAACAGATAAATCTAGCAAAAAAGAGGAAAAGCTTTCCTAGACAACTGGCATTGTCTAATGAGAGTGTATTGGCCCTGAGGCGACTTGACTCAATTTGTGATTTCCAGTATCTTCTCATTCACTAATAGGCCAAGATGTAAATCTTCTGAGGACTCTGTCCTGCAAAACTATGAATGTGGAGGTGAAACCCAGTGACCCATGGAAATTGGGAGGGCCAGGGCCAGGATAAAGAAGGCAATCCGGGGCCTGGCCAGCAGGGGTCATCTTTGCAAGCAAGCAGATAAAAGGCAGTCTCACTCTTTCAGGCTACAATCTTCAGAGTTAACCCCACACCTGGTCCTTTGTCTGAGAAGTGGCTGTATTTGTACGATAAAGTAAGCTAAAGAAAAGAAAATGTTACTAAGAAAATCATAAGAAAGAGAACTCATTTACTGTATTTATTGAAAAGAAAATCTGTGTATAAGTGGACCCAGGCATTTCAACCTCATGTTGTTCAAGGGTCAACTGTACTTTTTTAAAAATAAATTTTATTTATTTATCTTTAGAGGGGAAGGGAAGGAGAGAGGGAGAGAAATATCAATGTATGGTTGCCTCTTGTGCGTCCCCTGCTGGGAACTGGCCTGCAACCCAGGCATGTGCCCTGACTGGGAATTGAACTGCAATCCTTTGGTTGGCAGGCCCGCACTCAATCCACTGAGCTACACCAGCCAGGGCTCAACTGTACTTTTTTCATTCCACTTATACAAGGCAGAGGCGATAATGTAAGAAGGAACTATTCTGAGGAAGAGAATGGGAATTACAGTTAGCAGAAAGAGTATGTGAGCCAGAAGAAAGAAAGCTTTGAAAGCAGCCACTGCAGCTACTTGCTTATTGTGTGACCTTGGACAAGTTACTTACTCATCTCAATTTCCACATCAATAAAGTGAGATTAATGTTAACCTGTGGTGTGGTCATTGTGAAAAATTAAATAAAATGGAGGCTGCTTTATTGCTGGCACCCAGAAAGCTTCCCTGATATTTCACCCATCCTTTTATTTCAGCAGTGTGGTGGAGAGAGACCAGTTGACTTCAGAAAAAAAGGGTTCAAGCCCCAGTTCTGCTGATTATTGGCTGGATGATCCCTGACAGGTTAATTAAAGCCTCAGAGCTTCAGTGTTCTGATGGGTAAAAAGGGGATAATTATGGTTACTCCAAACAATGGCTATGTGGTTTTAAAAAGAAAATGTAAAGTATAATACAGTATTATTACATTACTAATACACATTTTTTAATTTGTTACACTATAGATTTCTTGGGGATAGGACGTGCATTTCATTTGTCTTTAAATACCCTAATGCCACGGAGTGGTTTAAGAATCTTTATACCATGAAGTGACATAGGGACCTGAGGTTTTGTCCATAAAGGGTGAGTCAAAGAAGCAGCATCTTCTCATCTCCAGAACAAAAAGAAGCTGGCACAGGAGGTAGCAGGTGTTGGAAATGCTGATATTCACACTGGGTGGCATTGACATCCTATTGAAGGACACACAGGAAGCCAGATGCAAGTCTGACATGGCTAATTGGGAGGTGCGCGGTCCTTTTGGAGCCTTTTCCTGAGATGTGACAGAGTGCCTGCCAAGACTAATCAAACCCAACTGCTACTCACTTCTGCTGAATCATATGGGGCTGCATCATAGCATCTGAAGGAACCTGGGATTTATCTCTCATGATGTTGAAGCCCTAGATAGGAAATAGAAAGTCTGGAAACACAGGTGGTGTTTTCATCTCTCCCTGCATTTGAAGGCAATAACTTTGGAAAGTAAGGAGATGGGAGATGAAAGTAAATGGTATTAGGGGACAGGATGTTTCCTTTCCAGATCAAGGGTTATAATCATGTGTTCTTGGGTCAAACACAGAATGCAGGTTAGATTATTTACTGGGCCAGAGATTTCTGCCTCAATCAAAAATAATTAAAGCTAAAATGACTTTTAAATTCAAAGAAATGGGATAATAAAGTAAAAATCTATGACATAAATGGAAGAACCCATGGAGGAATTTCTATTAATTCTTAGAGAAAAATAGTAAGGAAGCAGATCAATCATTAAATTCATATCCTTAAATATCTACACAACAATGCAATTGATATGAATAATTAATGAGGATAATTTAACATGTAAACGTGGCTGCAAATTTGAATTCATAAGAATCACCTAGACCCATTGGGGCGGGAGATTTCCCACAAGAACCTAGCCCTGAGAGAACAAGGCATTATAACAAAAACGAAGGTGTATTAGATGAATACAAAACACACAAGACCTGAAATCACCAACCTACATAATGATGTGAAGAAATCAACTTAAGTACTTATATTTAGGCTCAAAAATTAACTGCACAAACAGAACTTAAGAGGTCTAGTTTAACAGGTTTTTCAAATGAACTTAGGCTTTTTAGGTTACAGCAAGCAGCAGATGAGTTTGTGGGTGACAAGGCAAACCCAGCCATGGACCAAGTGTCGCATCTAATCTCTCCTTGACTCTGCACTGTCGGACTCTATCTATAGTATTTTGTTCAACACTGGACTCTGTGTTTTAAGAGGGTCTGAGATAAATGTCTGGAAAAGTATGAGCATTCAGGATGATGGACAGTCTGGAAACCATATGATATGAAGAACAGTGAAAGGAACTGGGGGACTATGTATCCCAGGAACGAAAAAGAAAAATAACTTAGATGTTGCATAATGCTTGCCGCCTTCTCTATGTGGAGTGCTATAATGAGACAAGAGATTTACAACTTGACTTACTCTTTATCATCACAGGGAAAAGAGCTCTAACCAATGAGAGTGGCTTCCAGAGAAACAGATTTTGATGAATACATGTAAAGTTTTCTAGCAGTGTCAGCCATTCAAAGAATAGATTGAGCTGTCTTGTTAGAAGGGAGACATCCTCGATATGAGAAGTTACTCAGCAGACGTGAGAGAACCACTTGGCAGTGGACAAGAGCTGGATCTTGAAGGTGTCCTTCAACTCTAATAGTCTATGACACTGTCATCTTATAAAGGAAGTGAAGGAAGCAGATGAATCAAAAATAACCCCTACGTTTTGAGGCTCCAAACTTTGGAGGAAGTGGTATGACAGAGAGGCAGATAAGCAGAAAAGCTGTTGGAGAGTGCAGATGAGACTTCTGTGAAGTGAACGGCTGGAGTTCAAATGGTATTCAGCACATCAGTTTAAGTGGCTTTGAATCCAGTTAACTTTTGTTTTGTTTTCTGGACCTGACACTTATTACCCTGCTCACTGGTTAAAGAGTACAGAACTTCATTTCATTAGTTAGGAAGATGAAGAGGAGGAGTGAAAGAAAGAAATAATATTCACTGAGTTATTCCTAGGCCATAGCTAGATTACCTCATTTAAACTTCTGAACAACTGTACATGGTGGTATTATTTTATTCCTTTTACAAATGAGAAAACTAAAGTGAGAAAAGTTAGTAATTTGTCCAGTGTCAAACACCTAAATTTATTGTAGGCCAAAAGATATCCTTAATAAAAAGAATATATGAAAAGCTACATGAACATTTTAATGTATCACCATTACCACAAAAGAAATAAAGCCGTTCTAATAATGTGCATACAAGTCTAAAGGAGAGGTCTTTAGGCTTAGCACATATACATATATACATAATGCATTTGTAATTACATGATGGAAATCATTCAGATCATGAATTCTGAATATGTTTCTTTAGTCCTGAAAAACAGGTTGTGCCCTGGCTGGGTGGCTCCATTGGTTGAAGTATCATCCCATAACCAAAAAGTTGCAGGTTCGCTCCCCAGTCAGGGCACATACTGGGCTGCTGGGTTGAACCCTGGTTGGGGCACGTGGAAGAGGCGACTGACTGATGTTTCCCTCTTACATCGATGTTTCTCTCTCTCCCTCTCCCTTTCTCTCTCTTTAAAAAACCAATGAAGTTGCCCTCAGATGAGGATTAAAAGAAAAGCAGGTTGCAAGGAAGAACTTTTATCATAATAGAAATATAAAAGATACAGGAAAGATGCATAGTATATTCCTACATTTTCTATAAAGGAATAACTGAGAATCTAGTTACCATAAGTAATGGGGAAAAAAGACTTTCTGCTCATGGAAAAGTATACTCCATTTTACTCCCTAAAATGTTAAAGATTAATATATTCAAAGTTTATAAATGTATAAATCAATAGACTCTCACTTACCTGAATAAAGCTCAAATAACTAGACTTTGTTTAAAATGAAGGAGATTTATACCTGTTTTGGAAGATGGCGTTCAAATGCCCCAAGATACGAGTTATGAAAGAACACCTCAGTTGCATTTAATGATATGCATATCTTATATATACAAAGTCTTTGAAAACTATGTATTTAATCCAATATAAATCAGCCAAATATTAATTTAATTTTCTCTTTCTCTTAAAATAAATTATATACATTCTGGATAAAGAGTACTTGTCACCCTTGACTAAGAGCCAATGGTTAAAGAGACTCTAGAAGACAATATTTGATCCTAGACTCTAGTGATATTTTGAGGTCATTTATGTTCACATGCAATGAGAACTTAAATTAGTACCAGTCAACCTGAAAGAATATGTGGGTAAATATACTCTTTATAAATAAGATACAGTTATTTGATTTAATTTGGTTTTATAAAAAATCCATTTTTAAGGCTAATAACTAAGATATTACATATAGCTTAAAAAGCATATATTTAAGATGAAATAAATTCCTTTGATATGTTTCATAATTAAACCTGTGTGATCTATTGTTACAAATGTCACTATGGAAATGCTTCAAAATAATAAAATGAAAATAGACAACTACGCGCTGTTTGATGAATACCTTATTGACAAGGACTATAACTTTTCCTGGTTTGGATGCTTTTCTCTTCTTGTCCAAGTGATCCTTGGCAATGTAAACGGCCACTCGGGTTTTCCCACTCCCTGTAGGGAGGCATATTATGATGTTCTTTCCCTCCAAGGCTGGTTGGGCAACTTCCATTTGGTAAGGCCTAAGATGCAGTTCTGGCTCAGGGGATGCTCTCGCTGCCTTGTCCTCTTCATCTGCAGGAAGATAAAAGGAAGAAAAATAAGGGGAAAAATAAATAAGGGAATGAGCAATAAAATGACCAAGGCTAAGAAACCCTTATCTGGAACATAGGTCTCTGTGTTTAAAGTGCTTTTCACGTATGTTCCAAACCAATTCATTTCCTATTTTCGGCACCAAATGGGTGTGTGCCCACTTTGTATTTGCAGGATAAAACCCAGGAACTCCGTCATGGAAGAAGCCTGGAGGGTGCACACCATGTGGGAGTCTTTTCACAGAATGGGTGAAGCCAAGGGGAAAGTGCAGAAAGGTACAAGATTGGCAGTTGTAGTTCTTAATGCATCGGACTTTCCATTTCTTTGTTGGACCATTCCCATGTGTTTCTCTCAGCCCTTTCACCCACCAATCAAGAGGAACTGGGTAAGCAGGAACCCTCGGTCCTCCTTGTTCTGGATTCCCCCCTGCTTTTTATTGTAAAAAAGATTTTATAGCTGATACTACTCTCCTTCTTCGGAAACACTTTGTCTAACAACAAAACACCAAAAACCTGTACACTGATCCATCCATCCATTTATCTATGTATCTATCATCTCAAATATCTAAAAATGGTAACAACAACAACAACAAAAGCCCTGGCTGGCGTAGCTCAGTGGATTGAGCACAGGCTGTGAACCAAAGTGTGGCTGGTTTGATTCCCAGTCAGGGCACATGCCTGGGTTGCAGGCCAAGTCCCCACTTGGGGGCACATGAGAGGCAACCACACATTGATGTTTCTCTCCTTCCCTTCCTCTCTCTCTAAATATAAATAAAAAATAAAATCTTTTAAAAAATTTAAATGGTAGAAAAAAAAACACATTTTTGCCTGGCTGGTGTAGCTCAGTGAATACAGTGTGGGCTGTGAACCAAAGGGTCGCCAGTTTGATTCCCAGTCACGGCCCATGCCTGGGTTGTGGGCCAGGTCCCCATGAGAGGCAACCACACATTGATCTTCCTCTCCCTCTCTTTGAAAAAAAAAGAAAAACAAACCATTCTTGGCATTTGAACCAACCAGATTTAACAGAAGCAATATTTATAGACAAAGGGAAAAAATCTTCCCATACCAGCCTTTAATTTGTAGGTTTTCATAAACTAAAAAAGAAAAAATGTTCATTTAAACTGAATTGTGACTAATTTTGCCATTTAGTTTTAAATTGTGATCTGTATCACATCCTTATACGTATGTCTGCACACATTCACATTTTCCTGAAACTCAAAGCGCAATTAAAAATATTTCCGACTACATAGATTTCTAAATTTAATGTACCAATAAAGTGAGTACTAACATACATTAATTTTATAAACATTTGGATAAAGTCATTATTGTACATCTTGGTTTGAATATCTTTCATTTAGAAGTGACCATATTTATCTATATTAGCCAGGGGAAAAAGATATAAAAATGTATAACTTATCATGTGGAATGCAGTAAAATAAATATTATATCAGTTTAAAAGCCTAACTTATGCTTTATGTAGTCATAGGAAAAAATGAAATGACAGCACTTATCAGTATTTCATTACACATGAAATAAGTGTCCTTTCCCTTATCAAAGACTGCAATAAAACTAAGCTAACATAATCCCATTAACTTCAAAAAAGTTGCTGATGGTGCCATTTCAGCAAATGGATGATTGCATTTAACTGCGTTTTAACTGGTGATAGTACCACCTGAACAGGTAGGAAAATTCACACCAAATACTACTTAGGAAGAGCCATCTAGTGACCTGGCAGGAAATGTGCTTTCTCTGTGGATGAATAAACATAGAGGCAATACAATTAAGTTACCACTGGATCAGCTGCTGATTCATTTAATATGATTTTCAGTAAAAACTCATTCAAAATCACCAACATTTAAAAATGTACATTTACAAGTTTTTTCCATGCTTATTTTTAGTCCACATCAATTAAAGCAATTCATCTTCTATTCTATTTATGGAAGTTTCTAATTTATTTAAGAATATCATTACTTCTCTTAAGTGGCTGTTATATATGATCAAAATCTTAGTATCCCATCTATATTATGAGTATTACATGACTTTTCTAAAAATGCCACAATATTTATAAAGGAAGATGTATTTTAAATTGTGTTTAACAACAACCAGAAATTTACTTTGATAAATTACTCTGTTATAGAGCAAGTCTGTTAAAAGATATTAGCAAATTCTCTTTATTTAATTTAACTCTAGGTACATTTTTGCATAGATTTACAAAAATAGTAATAAAATTCTGCTTTCCTCACAATAGATGCATGTACTTTACAAAACCCATCTTTTTCCCCTTTTGTTTTCATGTTTTTGAGAGAAACTTAGATCAACTTCAAAGTGTCTTTCCCAAGAATCTAAAACTAAGTCAAATGAGTAGAACATCAATATGTTCTAATAAACTACTTCACACGCATAATGTACTAATAAACTAAAGAAGACTTAGACTGTTGTAAGAGCTACCGTGTACAAATTTAGGTCTGGAATCAAAGTCACTACATCTCACTGCCACTGAAGTAGTCACGTACTACCAATTCACTCTGCAGTAACCATTCACTGGGTGCCTATTACATCCACGTGTCCTCAGTAACACAGTCCTTCTCCTCAGGGACTTCAGAGTCCAGGGCACTGCACTACTGCACTAAAAACATCTGGCCATTAGAGCGACAGTTCAATAATCTTCCACATTTTTGAGTCAAATCTAAGAAACTCGATGGGTGTCCCCAAGTTTAAGAGAGAAGCACAGAGTGAATTTGGAAAAAACTAGAGTTGGATTTATTGTGAGAATAGCATCCAAAGAAAAAGAGCTGGGTGAGTGTTAAATATTCAGCCTGATTCTTGCCTTATCACATCCTCTGACATAGGACTGGAAGAATTTATCCCCATAAGCAATGAAAAGAGAATTTTCTCTTTTCTGTCACCAGAAGGAGAGAACTGGACTGGTGTCAATGAGCCAGCAGCCAATTTCCTTTATAAAAAAATGTTTGGGTTGTGTTTGTTTGTTTGTTTCTTTTTGGCTCTCTTCGCAAAGCAAAATCAATTAAATGCAATAATGAAAATGGCGTTTTAAATATGTGTGGGTTTTGAATAACTTTGTGCCCTTCCTCTATAACAAATATTGATGAAAGACCTTAAAATTATACTATGCCATATAAACGGTCAGAAAAATGAAATCAAATAGGGCTTAAATAATAACATTCTATTGGAACTACACCATGTGGCAAATTTCATTCTCACATTGATTTTGACAGCTGAGTTATTCTTGGAGAGAAAAGGTCTGTCACCGCATGTGTTTGAAATTGAAAAAGTACTCTTTTACCTATAGTATGTAACCACAAAAAATGCATCATTCCAGCTGGACAAGTTTTAATGGCTATTACCTAGAAATAGTAAGGAAACACTTTCTACAAACCAGGCCAATTTGTATTCCAAAAATTATGCTACTTTGTGTTAAGCAGTATATCTCTCTGAAAAGGAGAAACAGAAAAACAAAAGTGCCTTCCATGGTATAATTAGAATATTTAAACTTTAAAAGCATCATTAATTATCTTGTACCATGGCCTAACACTTCACAGAGGATCATAATGTTCTGGTGCTGGTCACATCCATGATGCTGATGGCCTACTATGTAACCCCTGAAGGCAGACAAAGGACGTCACCCTCGGAGGTTAAAATGTGATCTCAAATACTGTAATGCTTTTCAGTGATTCAATATGTGTTTACCAATTAGTGATTCATCTAAACCTTTAAAAAATGACTTCTGTTTTATCCCATGTCACGTACCTAGTGGAAAGGAATTCCATAGTATTATAATTTCAGAATTCTACTACCCACTATGCAAAGCAATTCTTTTTCCTGAGCACTGACCCATCTAAAACATCAATGCATAGCCTGTGAAAATGTGTTTGTCTTCACATGTATTTGCCTTTGAAAATGTATTTGCTTTTTAAAAGTAGGTTGCATTTAGATTTATCACGTCTTTCATGCCACATTGAGGACTGAAAATTAGTAAACAGTTACATTTGCCAGCATCTCAAACCAGATAAAACACCCTGCACAGAGAGGACAGCCATTGAATATCTATAGAATAAATGCATACTGTTGAAAAGCCCTTACATGGACAAACAAAAATTAGGATGAAGTCCAGAAGCTTAAAACTACCCATAAAATGTTGCATATTAGCGAGAGTATATTTGAATTCAACAATCAATAGCATTTAATTAAACACATAATTAAACTAAACAACTGTATAACAAGCATAGAAAAAATAAATATAATCCATAGAAATAGGCACATGGCAAGAACTTAACAAACACTGACTAAATTGAACAGAAAAAATGAATGAACCACTCCTAGTTAAAGTTAATGTTATGGCTGACATTTGGTGAATTGGGTTTCCTCAAACCAACTTGTTACAAGGGATTCAGGAACATTATTGAGAGAAAGGACATTTAAACAAAAGAGATGATACACCCCTATTTGAAAGCTTTTAGGGCAGGTAAACATCCTTATGTAAATTATTTTGACCCTTAAAGCCTATTGCAAATCTAAATTTCTTTCATTCTCTGAGAAAGCAGGATAATCTGCAGTACACAATATTTTCTAAGGGTTTACTACAACTCAATTCCAAAACAAAGACTAAAGTAATTTGTTTCTTAATTTGCCAGTTTCCTATGGCTTCTTAACGGCCCACATTATAAAGCACTTTTTTTGTTTGCAAATTATTAATTTTAATTATGATATATTTCAGATGTAGACAAATACAGAAAGTGTGTAACAGACATCCAAGAACTAACTCATCTGCCATTCTTAAAAGATGGTAACATTTTAGCTCAGTGATAATAATGGAAACGCGCAAAGAACAAAAAGAAGCTCTTTGAAACGGATCAGACGGACAAAAGTTGGGAAATCTGATAACAGGAAGTGCTGCTCAAGTGTGCTGGAGCACACTCACATTTATTCCTGCTGGGCTGTGTACCTAACGTGGAGAGCAGTTTGGAAAACACCTGCTGAAGTTCTCATCCCGTGACAAAAATACGTTTGTAAACTCTATTCCTATGCAAAAGAAATCGGAACTCTAAGTGTACATGTAATTTTCAGTTCTTCATTTAAAGAGGGACTCAAATTTTTTTTTATTTAAAACGTACTTTAATAGAAAAATTAGGGTTTGGAAAAAGTGTACCAAATTACACACAGAATTTAAAACAGTCAAATGAAATGAAACAGATTCCACAAATAAAGTAGATAACATGGTTCTATAGAAGGTGGCATATGCCAGACCAAAAAGATCTGCACTGGATCAAAATTAGAGAGCTTGATTCTAAGACTTCTGTAAGTTGTACTTTTAAAGGAAGTGCATGGCAAAGTTCCAAAACTGTTTCAACTGTAGGAAAGAATTGCTTTAATTGCATAAATACATTTGGGAGGGTAGGAACAGCCCCCATGCTTTCCACTGCATGGCGTCTCATTTCACACTTTTTAAGGTTTACACAACAGTGAGGCAATACCTGAATCACTTCCCATGGTGCCTGAATCACTGCCCATGTTGCTGTTATGTCCAAGACTTTCATCTAAGCAGTTGACACTTCCTTCTGCCAAACTTGTGTCTGATTCTGCAAAGGAAAACATTTTAAAATATTTTAAAAATATTTCCGAGGATAAACATATTTTAACTGCACACCTCTACAGCACACAGTACGTACAGTTCGATACAAGTTGGGAAGGCACACCCACATAATTATGAATAAAAGGTAAGAGTTTCTGGCAAGCTACATTTACAAATTTCACATTGAATGAGAAGTTGCCAGGTAGCAAGTCAAATACACAACCCTACTCACAGTACCATACATCCAATACGAGAGCTCATGCAAATTTGTAAGGACTTACGACTTTTGTCATCCCCCCTTCACGTAAATTTTGTCCTGAAAAAGATCTAGGCTTGACAATGCCACTTAAAAATATATTATAAAGAAACTACTGAGTTATTTTCACATAAAATGGTAGTTAATGAATAAAGTAAAACAATAATAAAATACATTGATTCACTGGTTAGTTATTAAAATAGGAGTTCAGTAACAAAAAGAACTTTAAAATATTAAAAATTTGCTCAAGAAGAATATCATTAAGATCTGGCACTGCAACTGTGCTGGAGCTTATGTGAGGTTGTAAATACATTTTTTTTCTCTACTATAATGAAACTAAGCTTCTACCAAATGGTTACAGTTAATGTGAGTAGCAAGGACACGCCCTTCCCTTGTCCATCCCAATTTTTTGTTTTTAGTACTATATCAATTCCTTTTGAAAATCTTTCCCTCGAGGGAAGACGACTCTCCTCACAGTTTATTTCCAAGGATTTTTGCAATCCGGTCCTCAAGGATCAGAACTATTGCCAAACTGGTAACAGTAATGGGAAGATGGCTACAAATGCTGCCTTTGGAATAGGGAGAATCTGTGAAAACTGCAGTTGTTCTGTCTAACTTCCTCTCATTTAAAATGAGGCCGGTACAAGCTACCTACTGATATCGGGTAACTGTTGAATAACATTAGGTAACATCATCTCTTAGCACTTTGGCTTAATTACTGGTGGTTGGAAAATGAAATAAAATCCAAGTATTTGGTGCATTTCCAAAGTAAGAGTTTATTTTATAATATTCTTCTTACCATTAATAACATTTTATAATACTTCTACTTGTTAGATGACTATTACTTCATGCTTAAGCCAGACACACTAAATAAATTACATTAAAGGAGACTTTAGCCCTTGAAAACTAGTCTGGGTGTCACACATTTAGGCTGGAAATAGAAATGGGTGAAAAACAGGCACATAGTATGTTATCAATAAAACTCCTCGGGAAAGAGTTAACATAAAACTACAGGTCTCTTCTCTTTGTTTAGCCAGTTACACTTCAAAGTCAGGTGTATTGAGGTATAATTTACACATCATAAATGACTCTTCCCAGGTGTGTAGTTTGATGAGTTTGATAAACGTATACAGTTTGATTTTTCCTTCACTGTAAAGTCCCCTCACCTGGCTTCATACTCAGTTGCCTCCTACTGCCCACTGGCAGTCACAGACTTGGTTTGTCCCTATCCTTCCGTCTCTTCCAGAACGTCAGATAAATAGATTTACGCAACATATAGCCTTTATGTTTGGTTTCTTTAACTAAGCAGAGGCAGTTTGAGATGCATCCACATCCCTGTGCGTGTCAGTAATTTGTCCCTTTTTACCGCCGACTAGTATTCCACTGACCACCTGTGACATCTTGTGACCTCTCCCGGAAAACCTGGATAAGCCTATTTAGCTTAGAAAATATGGAAATTGAAGCCAAGGCCAATTAAAATGTGAGACATCATTCTGGATAGGTAAAAGCAAGCTAATAAGAAATTTGTAGAAAAATTCTCAATAGAAAGACATACTGTTTAAATACATTAGCACAACATAAATATACTAATGTGAAAATACTGTGCTTATCAGTTGTCGTAGATTAGCTCTAAAACTCGGATTTGAGGAGTCCCTCATGATCACACGGGAAAACCTGTACATCTCACTGAGAGAGTTTAAATATGGCATTTTGCAATTCCCAGAGGTATGCCTTGTTAGAGCTCCGAGGAGAGTGTGGGATAGAACTGTCAAGTAGAAGAGTGTTTTGGGCAGATGTACTGATGAAAAGAGAATATGACTTGTAAGAAAAAGCAAGGTGAAAAATGAAATGGGGAAAATGTCAGTGTAAGGATAATTCTCGATCTTAGAAGTAGAGACCCAGATTTTTGAGGCAAAAAATTAAATTTTGACATGGTTTTCATTTGTTGTATTGAATGTGGTACTGATATGTGAAGACAATACCACAAATAAAGAAAAATACTAATATTAGCTAAAATAAAATGCTGTGTCTTTAACTTCCCAACTAAGTGTAATCCAAATGGAAATTATATTTGATTTCCACTGCATTTTGTAATCACTAGCAGTTAAACCATCATCTTAAATCTGCTCCCTGTAAGCGTAAAGTCAAGATTCTCTCCAAGCTTTGTTCTAACAGACATACGATTTGGAGAACCTATTTAATGCAATGTACACAAATCATTAGCGACTATTAATGAAACCTGCTGCCAAAAATAGGATATTATTAATTAAGTTCATTATTTGGGTTATTTTCATCTAAAAAATAAACCTGCAATGTGTCACAGAGCACTGTGCTCTCGCCGACATAATGTAAATTACATTTTAAACCCTCAGCATCCTGGGTGGTAGATACCCATCATCGCCTCTGCTTTATGGGTGAGAAACCACAGGTCAGAGAGGTGAAACCGTTTATCCAGATCACACAGCCGGAGCAGGGCAGAGCTGGAAGTCCCCGGTTTCTGAGTCTCTGTCCAGTTCCAGAACCTCTCGCCCTGCACTGTGCCTGGCTGGTGGTCTGTGCACGGCTCTGTGAACCAGCAAACAAGCCTGTATGCACACTTCTGAGAAAAATAAAGGTTTTTAAAAGTATCTAGATATTTTCATTGTAATGTCAGATTTTCTATCAATTTAAAACAGCTTGTCTTTTTTTAATTTCATGCCTAGTTTTTACTCTGAAATGTAAAGCTCTTTTGAATTAAAGTACAGTTGACATCCAACATTATATTAGTTGCAGGTGTAGAACACAGTGAGATTTCACATCTCTATGCCTTACAAAGTCATCACCACACACGGCTTGTCTTTGCAAGAAAGAAAGTTAGATGGATTGTTTTTTGTTGTTAATATTTCTGATCTCATCCATAGACTTTAGTCAACTTTAATTTAACCATCCCACTTAATGTTATGAAACATTTTTCCTGCACACAAATAAAAGAATATTTCTATCCTGTTGACAAAAATTAATTGCAATAATTCCTGCTAGAGATCATTATGAAAGTGAATATATTTGTCATTTTAAGGATATATAAATTTCCAGTTTCTCAACATGGACATAGTTTTGTTTCCTGGACAGCAATTTCTTATGCATTTGATATATCTTTTATTTCACAGAAATGTAAGTACTATAGATAATAATTTTAATAACAAAAGAAAATGTATTATAAGGCATTTCCCATAACATTGAGAATGTCTTTCCCAGAGCTTTTCTTCCTGCATCCATTTTCAAAAATCATGTTATACACACACACCCCCACCCACAAAAACCCAGACTGAGAAAGTGTTTATGTGATGCCCAAATTAAACCAACCTATTGAGCTTATGAGCCAAAAACCACTGCAACTGACTGTATAGAAATATCTTCCTTCACTCTATACTTTTTACAGTAGGTCAATCTGAAGTTACGTCCGAATGACAAAAGTCGTGTGTATATGATTTAAAAAGAGACGAGATAAAATAGCGTCCACGGGAGACTGGGCGTCACCCTGAAGGCAACATGTGCTGTGGAGTCAGCCCGACCCGTCTCCAAATCCATGCTCACAAGTGATGTAATTTTTTTTGAAAAAATCTTTAATATACACAGTATTTCTACTTTCTCGTTTGTTGTGAGAATGATTCTGTTAGATCAAGGAAATGAATCATGAAGAGAAACAAATCTTGACTTCTCAAGAAGTTGCAGCTTAAAGAGGCTTTGAATATTGGCATTTTATTACATAATACTTTTAGCTAACTTTTATATAGGTGTTATTTCCTCTATGGAAAATATCAAAGCTAGTTATGAAACAGATCAGAAAACGCTGGTTATTTCTGTTAAAGAAAATAAGTTATTCATATCAAACTCTATTGAAATGAAGAAAACTGATGCTCGTGTAGTTAAGAGAGAGGATTTTCTCTAATAATTTTGTAAACAACACACAAAAAAGAACAGCTTTGCTTACAACGATAGAACCAGTCCATACGCCGTGGGCGGTGGAGGGGGAGTCTCATTTTGCTACTACAACTTGAATATTTTAAGACAAATATTAACTGGAACCTGAGAAATTTCATCTTTAACATCCTCTGGACCTTAAATACTTTAAAATATTTTAAAACTATTTGGGAACTAAAAATATTGAAGTTTTTAAAAATTCAAACGAAAACCTCTTGGTTGAAGGCCATTTTAGATCTATTTCAATGTAAAGTCTGCCCTCTGCTGGAAAATGCTATTATAACAATTGGTCGATAAATTACATTGCCTTTTCTCAACTTAAAGCCTAAGCTTCATTCCTTAAGATACAAATTAGTTCTGACTTCTATTCCTGCCAGGTCAGGTCCCTCCTCTTTTCAGCCTTGATGTATTTCCTCGCTCAGAGAACATTCCTCCTTTCTCACCTCTGGTCTCAGGCTGTGGAGCAGTCCGTTTGCTGGAACGTGGTTTTACCCCAAGGCAGGAAGCCACGCAAGGGGCCCTGTGCCTACCAAGAAAGAAGGGCGCTGAGAGGTCCCGTCCTCCCAAGAGGCCATGCTGATGGGGTCTGTAAATACTCTAATTCCACGTGCCACAGTAACTTTATATTTACTGCAGTAGTTCTGACCTCACGCACTTTAGCGTCATCTCTTCAGCCATCCCCACCTTCCCTCCAGTTGCACCCCCCTCTCCCTGCAGCCGAGGCTGGCGAGGACTGCCCCCGAGACTGCCAGCACCCGTGCACGTGTGGGCCCCACAAAGACGGCCTGGAC